ACTACGAGTAAAATAGTATGAGCATTCTGCACCGTCAAATTGAGGACCATTGTCTGATCGCACTTGTCCGGGGATGCCTTTTCTGGAAAATATCAACTTAAGTGCTGTTATGACCTCACTTGACTTTGTCGTCTTCTTCATGGCTGCTACTTCTATGTACCTTGAGAAGTAGTTTATTACAATCAGGTAGTCGATGCCTTTCAGCTCGAAGAGGTCTGTGGCTACGACTTGCCGGGGGCGGTCTGGTAGTGGTGTTGCTATAAGCGGTTCGGGTTTGTTTTCCTTATGCAAAGCGCAAACCCTTCATTACTGAACCAGATCCTGGATTTCTCTACTAAGTCCTGGCCACCAAACAGAGCTTTTGACCTGCTTACGGCATTTGGTGATTCCCTGATATCCCCCATGGATCTTGTCCAAGATCTCAAGTCATATGGAGGATGGGATAAGGATCCTGGATGCTTTGAGTAGAGTGTCCTGCACGACAGATAGTTCACTTCTGCTCGACCAATAAGGCACCAGCTCCTATCTTGGTCTCCTTGTTAGGATCATATAGTGCCAGTATTGGAGCTTGTTTGAGGTCAGCTTTGATCTGCTCAAATGCTTTCTGTTGCTCAGTTTCCCATGTCCACTGATTCCCTTGGCAAAGGAGTTCCCTGATGCTCTTTGTCTTGCCAGCAAGATGCACCGAAAACTTGCTTCATTATTTTACCATGCCCAGAAATGTTCTCACATCTGGAACGTTCTGGGGTTGCGGGAGATCTGGGATTGCTTGCAGCTTGTCAGCAATTCCACGGGAGCTAAGGACATGCCTGAGGAACTTGCACTAGTCAAGGTTGAATGTAACGCCGGCTTCGACCAGGCGCTTAAGTACGGCTTCTAGTCTTTCGTCATATTCCTCTGGGTTTTTTCCATGAGCTAAAACGTCATCTATGCTGCACTCTACTCCCTCTAATGCCTGGAGAATCTGATTCGTGTTCTCTCTGGAATTTCTAAGACCCAGGACTGACACCAAAGGATAGAACATTGAAGGAGAGGTCAGCGGTCTCGATTCCCATGCAGGCCTTATCTGCCAAAATCATCAGTTTGCATCGAGTCTTGCGAAGACTTTGGAACCTGCCAATCTTCCCAGAGCTTTATCTACTGCTGGAAGTGGTGGGTTCTCTCTTTTGACGTACTCGTTCACCTTGCTGAGGTCCACGCAGACCCTGACTCTTGCCATTGCTTTTTGGGGCAACCACCATTGGAGCACACCAGCTTGTGTGCTCGTCAACTTTGGATATGACACCTGATTTCAACATTCTATCCGATTCTTCTTTTGCCTTCTGATAAAATGGTAAGGGTACTTTTCTTGAAACTGTAACTTGAAAGGGTTTAGCGCCTTCTTTGGGTGTGATATGATAACAGTCCTTCCTAGTAACCCACTGCCTAAGCTGTCAAGTCTGCTTATGAGTTTATAATGTTCAGCTGGCTCCCTGCCTAGCAGAGGTCGCTCTTAATCTTCTATCCCATACATTCGTTCCTTAGCAATCGTATCCTTCACTTGCAGCTCCGCGATGAAAGTTCCTGAGCAGCTTAGTTTCTGTTTACATGGACCCATAAGTAGCCTGGATGCGTTCTTGAGTACAGGAGCTCGTTTTAAGCTGTAAAACAGGCCTGGCGGAACTACCATGACATCTGCACCAGTATCCACTTGAAAATATATTGGTTGTCCATTAATCACGACTTTCGCTTTCCATGAACTTTGTGCTTGTCCTTGAACAGTAGCTACCTCAGTTAGTTCACCCGGGAAGAATGCTTCGTCTTATGTGTCTGAGAAGCTCACTTCATTCACTTTCTTCCGAGATCGAGATTTGCAAGCCTTTGCCCGATGTGCTACTTTGGAGCGCTTGATACATTGGGATTCTCTGCTTGGACATTGTCTCTTTGAGTGTGATGGATCCAGGTACCTTAAACATTGTGCTTCAGGAGTCTTCTCTGACCCGTTTCTAGGCTTATGGGGCTTCTTTGCATCTTTTGGTTTAGTTTTATCATCTTTTCCCTTTCCTTTAAATAAGCAGTCTACATTAGCTGGTGTTTGTTCTGACTTGTTTCCCTGTAGGAAAGTTTGTGGCTTCTTCACTGTCTCAGACTGCCTGGCCTTAGTAACTGCCTTCTCTAAAGTCAGCTTGGGATCCAGTTGCAGCTGTTCAGAAAGTTTTCTGCCTTTAAACCTACAACGATTCTGTCTCTGATGAGATCATCTCTTAATGTTCTAAATTCACAGTATTCAGCTAGACAGTATAAATCTGTTGTGAAGTTATCCACGGACTCACTATCCTGTTGACCTCTTGGATTAAATTTGGCTCTTTCAAATATTACGTTTCTCTTAACAACAAATGAGTTTCAAACTTGCTTTTCACTACGTCATACTGCTTCAGTTCCTAGGCGGTTATTCCAAATGAGGCAACAATGTCATCAACAGCTTCTCCCATCGAGTAAATTAAAGTGTTTACTTGGCTCTCACCGTCCTTTTAGTCGAGGCCAGTCGCCTTTCGAATTCGTTCGAAACGTCTAATCCAGCGAAGCCACTCGTCGGGTTTAAAACTGAATTTTTCCGGCGGTTGAATTGGATATTCGCCACAGCGATCTGTTGGACCGTAGGCTGTGCAGGCATGACGGCTTCTTGTTGTGCAGGCTGTGGTGAGTGAACGTCATCTTCGTTCGGCTCGTCAACTACAGGTTGTGGAACA